GCCCCCGCTACCCCCGCTGCCCCCCCCCCCCCGCTCACCTCTGCCTGCAGCCCCACAGCGGCGCCGGGATCCAATGCGACCGCAGCGCTGGGAAACGGCAGCAAAAATGGGGGGAGCGAAAAAGCAGCCGGTCTCCATGGAAACATGGGGAGGCCCCGTGCGGCGGCGATGCGTAAGGATGGGGACGGTCCCCAGGGTCCCTTTGTCCCCCCCCTAGCCGGGACACAGCGCCTGTCCTGCTCTGGGCTGGCCGTGATGGAGGGGGATTGGCGTCCCCCTGCTCAGCGTCCCCATTGGGGTGCGTGGGGACCCCACACATCCCAGCCTGGCTGTGGGGCAGGACGAGGTCCCATGGAGCCAGCGGGTGCCACTGCCTGCTGTCAGCTCCCAGCCACCTCTGTGCCTCAGTTTCCCCTCCTGGGACGTCACTGCTGCCGGCTTGCCCCAGGGCAGGGAAGGTCTTGGGGCACAGGAAATCCTGCACACAGCAGGCAGTGCTGGGCCCCAAAAAACAGGAAATGCCAGACATGCACCTGGACGTGCACTGGGACGTGCACCAAGACCTGCACCAGGACACTGGGACAAACACTGGGACGTACACCAAGGCCCCCATCAGGACCTGCACTGGGACCTGCGCTGCTGCCTGCACCAGGACACGCACTGGGAATCACAGCAGGCCCCGTCCCAACCCGCTGGATGCACCCAGCTCCGTGATCTCCACCCCAGAGCCCAGCAGGGCCCGCCCAGCAGCCCGGCTGAGACCCAACAAACTCATCTCCCATGCTGCCAACATGCTGAAAGGCAGCACTGTGGGTGCAGGACCAGGACAGCGCCGGGCTGACAGCCAGAAGGGGTGGAGAGGCAGATCCTATATGGGGGCACTGCTTGCCCACCCCACACACAGGGACTGCCCTGGAGGCGGCGCGGGGCCTCGCACAAGTGTGCCATTGTCAGTGCCAACGCAGCTGCAGAGCCAGGATGGCACCAGGGAAGCAGCTTCAGCTGGGGATGGGATGATTCTCTGGGACCCCCCAACTCTGCTTCATCCACACTGAGACCCCCGGGCTCGGTGGGACCCCTGCTGTGCTTGGGCACGGATGGGGATGAGCAGAGCGAGAGATGCTGCTGAATTATTGATGCCCACCAAGGGACGTGTAACCTTACCCGGGGCAGTGGGGGGTGGAAAGGGGGCACGGGGGGGGGGCACAGAGCTGCACGCACGTCCCAAACACACACGTGTGCCATGCTGTGTGTGTGACCCTGCAGTGCCACACGTGTGATTCCATGGCACAGCCTCAGTGGCACCGCACTGCCCCACAGAGCCATGGCTTTCGGGTGTGGGGTGGGCACCTGCCCGAGGTCACCGGGACAGACGTGGGGGGGCTGCAGAGGGGTCCCAGCGTGGGTTTTGTCCCTTTGATGGTGACTGTGCGGGAGGGAGGAGGGGGGCTCTGCTGCCCCCTCTTCTGGCCTTGGCGCCGTTCCCGCTCCTTGTCCCGACGATTTCCCCCAGGTCCTCCCGGTGTCACCCCACAATGTGGGGACGGCGCTGCCGCTCCCCCCCCTTCCCCCCCCCTCCCCGCCATCCCCGCAGCCACCGCTCACCTTGGGGTAAGGTCACCGCAGCCGCAGGGCTCCGGGCACCCAACCACTGCCACCCGCCGCCCCGCGGAGCGCATCGGGAGCACCGGGCGGTACCGCGGGGGGGGGGGGGCGGGGGGCACAAAGTGGGTCACGCTGCTGCCACGAAACCCCGGTCCCAACACGGCCACATCCCCGGCGCTGTCACCGGCTCGGTGTCCCACACCGCTGGGACCCGGTGACAAAGCCCTCGTTCCGCAGCCCCCACCCCCACCC